AGGGAAATGTGCCTTGGGTGAAGAAGCTAATACTCACTGAGGACCAATGAATATTTTGAGTTGCTGAGAAAGCTAATTACTCTGATAATTATTCCATGCATGTGTGAGTATATGCGTGCCTAAGTGTGTGTGTATAGATGTGTCTGTGTGTGTGTGTGTGTGTGGGGGGGTCATTCTGTGGGAGATTAATCATCACAGTCAGTCTTATCTGTCTCATAGCTACTCGAATGTGTCAGACAGATTCTTATCAGATATACGTGTACATGCGCACACACACACACACACACACTTTACTAAATCAATCTTTGTATGATCAGCCCTTGTGTAAGCAGATATGTTTTGAATCTGTAGGACACAGCAAACAACAGCAAACAATCACAGCTGAAAATAAGAGAATACCAGAATAATTTCAAATATTTTGAGTGTAAAAATTCTGTTTGCCGCTGGCGTCTCATGGCTCAAACTGCCATTTCTGTCTCTTGCTTCTATATGCGCTCATTGGACATTCCTGAGCCTTATGAATAAAATATCTGAATTTTTAAATTGGGCTGTTATAGCTTGATAGGCAGCAAACTGACAAGGTTAGGGGCTCCATTTCCTCTTGCATTCAAAGGGTCGAGTATAGCAGAAACTCTGCTGAGACTGTTTGACTGCAGCATGAATCAGCAGGACGCTGTTACCAATTCACACCAGGCCTTTTTTCTCACAAAAGGATCCACACAAAGAACGAGTACATCAGACACAGGCGATGGCTCTGCATTGTCTGTCTAAACAACAATAATGAGCCAAACAGCCAAAATATCACTGTATCATAGCAGCCTAGGAAAACTGCTGATAGACAAAGACACTCATCTGCTGTCCCTTTGTGTGGTATAATCAGACTTTTACATGAATACATTAGGGGGATCAAGGGAGAAGTGTGAAAACTCACAACTAAGATGTGGTGACTTAAAATGAATTTTTACATAACTCCAACACAATCAAAAGCACAAGAAAGGTATGTGAGGACACATACCTTGACTGGTAGACCCAAATGGCTCTTGAAATCCCAACTCTGTGATAAAACAAGATAAATAGTTTACATTTCTTCACTCGAATGAATATGGAAATTAATTATAGACATAGTTATGCACACAGTTTTTTGTTCACTGTTTACTTTGTTGCTAAGATTTAGAGGAGAAGAACCTCTCATGTCTTAATGGTAAATATGTTGCTAGACTAGAGCATGGATCAGACTGCATAGTTCTGTCCAAACGGGACCCATGCCCTTGAGTGTGGCATCCAAACCCAGGTGCTGTTAGGCTCAGTTCAGCATGTGGTTAGTTTAGCGGTTAGCTTAGCTTAGCTTAGCAGAAAAACTGGAAACAGGGGAAGCAGCTAACCTGGCTCTGACTGAGGTTTTAAAGTACATTTACCAGCACCTCTAAAATTTACCAACTAAGTTGTTATATCTTGTTTCTTTAAACGATACAAAAATGAAAAGTTAAAGCACATTGAAATCAAATGTTTGGTGTAAGCTTGCACACAGTATTTGGACTTACCCTATATCCATGTTTATTGCAGGTTTAAATGAAACTTATAACTGCTTTCATCTCTGCAGTGACACAGGTCTACATTGTACGGTACTTGGTGTTATGAAACCGCAGTGAATAAATAAAGTATGCTGCTGATCAAGGGAAGTAGCCATTTATGAGCTCTACAACATCAAAGTGAGAAAATATTCTGCCTTCCTCTCTTCAAAAGTCCAGGCTGTCTGCCTCAGTCTGAGGAAACCAACCACCTGCTGGCAGCTTCTCAGCCTGGGAAATCTGTGGAGCTATCCTAGATCATTTAGAAGTTCAAAGCATTCTCGAGGCATAAATATATTGCTGCATAAGTCTTATTCTTTCACCTAAAAATAGAATTAGATTAGCATCACAGAAATTTCATAGATTCGAGACCAACTTTTCACTTGAAGCTGTTTTATGCCTGCAACATCATTAGCTCCAAAAGCAGCAGTGATAGAGGTGGCGTTCTCCTACAACATAAAGTCTTGAAAGATCTCTAAGTGTAGGAAGTCTAATACAATGACTAATCTCTGTTGCTAACCACAACACCAAAGGCCTCTAATTGATGTCCCTCTCTCTTTTTTGTGCAGTTGATTTTATAGGAGGGTTCGACTCATACGGCTACCAGGGGCCTCAGAAGACCTCCCACCTTCAACTACAGCCTATGTACATGTAAGTATAGTGTATATCTTCAAACGCCTTGCTAAAATACTTCAAGCTACACTAAGGATTAATTCAAATTTTAAATAGCGCTAGCATGGAGCTCCAGAATCAATCACCTCCACTCCAACCAGTCTACAGAAAAGTTTTGTGAAGCCGATTTGCACGGTTACGTCACAAAAAACACTTAGCCACTCAAGTTTTTTTGTCATAGAGAGCCAAAAATCAGGTCGCCACATCCAGTTAGCCTTTGTTCCACTAACTTCAGTGATTCTATGCAGTCTCTCATGTAACATTTTTTCATTGGTCATTGTAAGAAACAGGAACCTTTGACAGCGACTCTCCCCATTAAAATAAATTTTGGGGGATGTTTCTACTAAAAAATATGTGAAAATTCTTACATGCTGAACCTTTAGTGGATGTTTTTTATCACATAACCTGTAGCATTATTTAGTCACAAAAATATGCTGTGCTGCATGGTAGGAAAAATATCCAGCTCCTTGCTGTCTTGAATCCTCCTATCAGTGAGAAAATAGGCTTTAGATTTGCCAGTTGGGGGCTGACAGGTCTCAGCCTGACATCAATTTTCATTTGTGTTCGGTAACTTATGAGTTCTTCAGAGGATGGTATAAGCACATATTCACTGCATCAGCATACAGGCTTATCATTTATCATGGTCTCATTAGTTATCATTGTTGTCGCACTTTTTTCATTCTCCTCACACATGGCAAATAAAGGTGGTGTATGTGATGAAAACCGCTGAGCCTGTGATGTCTCATAATTAGCTGTTTTACCCACAGTGAATGCACAAGGCATCTTTTTGAGTACTGCTGTTGTGTTATGAAATGGAGCTTTACTTGCTTCTAGATTCTACTTTATATGGTGATTCCCTAAGACTCAGAACATGGATTCCAGTTTCATCAAGATCTTCAGCTGTTTTTAGTTGAAGAGCCAATAGGATAACACAAAATAAGCCTCACTCCAGGCTTAGACAACCCTGTATCAATCTCATGGTCTCACTTTGTCCTGTGGAAAGTGCCAAGCAAAACAGCACAGGTTACACCGCTGTATCAGACAGCAGGATGGAATAATGGTGATTCTTCTGATGTGCAGCAGACAGGTTATCAAGGACAGTTTTTTTTACTAGATAAAAGACCTGGAGTGAATGAGAGAGATACAAATAGACAAAGGGGGAGATGGAGAGAATCTGAGATCAGGATGGGTTAGAGACTTGCAGACAGAGAAAGAGAGAGAATCAGGAGAAGAAGAGAAACACATGATGAATGAAATGTAGAACTAAACAACGAAGAAAGGCAATAAAAGGGCTATTCTGTAGTTTTATGTGTCCCCTGTGGAAGCTATAACACAGATCATAAATCATTGACCCCTGAGATAATGGATGGCTGCAGACACAACACACACACACACACACCACACACACAAACAGAGGCTAAAGCGTGAATGCACAGATCTATAGATACACAGATATAACTACTTACACATAGACAAGCACGTAGTAAATGTGCTGATAGGCAGCTTGGGCATGTGCACATTAACATACACACATACAGTACTGGTACATGAACACACACATACACAAACATTGTCAATATGCTTTTGGTGTTCCCCAGCTGTTGTCCCTTCACTTTGGTGTTTATTGGCTCTGGCCACAGGGACCAATAAAACAGCATCAGCTGTACTGTCCCAGAGGAAATATTCCTCTCTGCCCCTCGCGAGATATGCACCCACCCACCCACCTACACACTCACACACATACAGTACACACAATTAACTTCACTACAATTCCCACCTCCAGACTTATATAGAAATGTGCATCTTTGCAAAGAAAAACACACTTCTAATTATGTGCACAGTGGCCCACTGTATCTGGTGTAACCTGCCTCACTGTGTGCATGTGCATCAGAATGGCAGTAAGAGAGTTAAGCATAATTCCAAAAGCATCAAAACACATCCAAATAAATTCCTCTACTACTACTACTACAGATAATAATAACACAGAACTAAAACATAATATTCTGAGGGTAACTTTCTTATTCATTTTTCAGTAACTGATGTTTTATTTCTAATTGGTTGCAGCTTTAATTAATTAATCTCGGCTGCACTGTTAGATCATTTGTTCAAAAAAATGATCTCATGCTATATACAGGACATTTTCTCAGGAAAACTGGACACTGACAAAAACAGCAGATTGGTATCAGTGCTGGAGAAGAGTGTTTTAAGAGCTGATTTAGTAAAGGTGTGTTAAAGCTGAGCTGATAGTTCCCTCAGTGCAGCCACTGAGGATCCAAGTGACAGTTATGGGATAATGCTACACGCTAAAACACAGATGATACTGCTCCTTCTCCTTAATATTTTGATATCAGAGAGCCAGTGCATCCATGGGAGTGTTAAGCTGTCTCTTGAGTGTTATCTTTCTTAATACACAGGACAAGTGCTTCTGATGTTTTCATCAAGCACCATTATGTTGTTCAGTGATTTACTTCAAGTACAACGCTGAGCAAATACGCTGCTTTGCATTTCATCATAAGCCTTCTAACACTTGGCATTTTCAATTCTACCTCAAATTTCTCTTTAAAGTTACATAAACCTTTTTTTCAGTTTATTATCTGACAACATCACATGGCTGCTCAACAAAGCCCTTAAATAATGACTTACCAGTAGGAACCACTGCAGCTTAAGAGGTTAACATAAATATTTACTGTTATATCTATACTGAAGCAATAAAAGGGATTCTGTCATGTCTGTATTAATGCTCTCCTCTTCTCTCTTCTCTCCAGGTCAAAGTAAACCCAGGATATACTCCAGGAGAACTGCCTTACCAACCACAACTGCTTCACATCCTGTTTTTTCTACTACTGTCCTTTCATAAACAACGATCAAGACACAGACACTTCGACTGGCTACAGAAGACACTAAGATAATTTGTGATTTAATCCCTGGTACCTGGTCACAAGCCTTCCCTGAGCTGCTGTTTTTTAATCGGAGTTAGGTCTGTTCCTGATGAAACACTGGCCTCTTGTGGTTGAACTTTTTAACTGCAAGACCTGTGTTTTTGTCTGAGGGACACAACCAGGAGCCAATGACTTGCTTCCTCTTGTGCTGTTGGGTATTTACACGGCAAAAGACACCACAGGGATGCAAAGAGGCCACGACTCATTGATGATGTGTTTCTTCATGCTTCCAATGAGAATTCATGGATTTCTGCTGGCAGAGAAATATTAAAAGGGAGCCCCGTTTCTCCACGCTACTGCAGAAATCATGCTTTCTCACATGTTGTAGTATCTAACAGCTCTCAAGTGCAGACATGCCTGACCAAAGAGTTTTAAAGAAAACCCCAGAGACACATCCTGGGTACGCAGAAGAGCCTGTTTAACGCTCTCCGTAACTTTTTTCCTAATAGATTCGACATTGGACTTCCAACCAAACTGACCAAGCATCTCCTAACAACGTTACCAATCAAGGAATGTCAGACATAATTTTTCTAAGATTACTTTTTGGTGCAAGAGCAAAGACAAAAGCTTGATACAAGCCACAGCCAGGACTCGAGCACGAGTACACGCTACACATTATAGTCTGTTGTTTCATCACAAACCCTGAATGTTAAATAAGAGTGTGATAGATTTACATATTATCATCACATTTGTGCATGTGTACAGGAAGCAGACACATTCACATACACAGTAATGCATATGTGAATACACACATGCATGCTCATGCACACGAGTCTAACACAAGTACAACCATTTAGCTTTTTCTGCTACTAATGTGAATCTTACTAATGTTTACAAGAGAAATTCTGGCCATCAGACAGAAAGGCTGAACACTTGACTGACAGATGCAACAGGTAGATAGACAGGCAGACTGGGAGGCGGGCAGTTTCTTTGGTCTCTTGCTGAGGGAGACAGAGACATAGAAAACAACTGAAGGGATTGTGGGCCGGTCAGTTTCCCTTCCACCTCAGTCCTCTTGTAGACACGTAGACAAGTTTTCACCTCTTTTTTAATAAAAAGAAAAATGTTGGAAGCCAGATAAAGTGCCCAATTAGCCTTATCATCTGCAGAACCCAACTCTGCTTAATAACAGAAATAGCTCAAAAGCAGCCACAGGCAGCGCTTACATAGAGAGATAAGACGCTCCCTTTACAGAAATGACAATCACACTCAAAGTGGCCTGAATCTTGTTGTGGATTGGCATTTTTGTATCATAAAATATGTGAAAAAAAAAAGCTGGAAAAATGGCTGTTATCATCATGTGACAACGGCGAAGTCAATTCCTTCGGTTTCGAGTTGAGTTTTGCTGTTCCAAAAGACAAAAGATTAATGAAAGACAGAGCAGGGAAACAACAGACTGATACTGCACGTGTCCACCCTCGCCTGCAGACTGACGAGGACCAAAATGATACCGGAGAGACGCAAGAGACTCAGCAGCTCCCCCCCGTCACCTCACTACTCAAACTTTAATGTTGAGTGTGCCAACTGTATTGCGGGCATCTGAGGAGCCTAGTTTTGGACAAACTGGGATCAAAAAGAATGGGTCTCATGTTCACGTTGTTTGGGTTTTCCATGTAAGAAAAAGATCGAGGATATCGAAGATTTAAAAAAAAAAAATCACTCTGCATTCCAGACTGCCGCAGGTCACGTTTTCTTCTGTTCATAAAAGTCCACTGAGTCCTTCTGTAAATGGGACTAAACATATTGCATTTATGTTGCAGTCACTTTACCAAGTGTTTGAGGCCTTCTCCACCTGCAAAGGAAGACTTCTGGGGTTAAAACAGTGACGTCTCTCCACATCAGGATGGGCTAACAGGCCATTTCCCTCTACAAAATGATCTCAAAGTCCACCCTCCACCTCCCTCTGCCAGTTATCTTCAACAGTTTATCTGTTTTTCAACAAAACTCTGTGGGTTGCGATCAGAGTCGCTGCTCTGTGAGGCCCCACTGACAGTCACTCTGAAGGACAGAAACAGCATTTTGTGTGTTTGCATGAGGTGTTTCCAAACTGCTGCATAGTTAATCCCACTCTGCGTGTACTAACTAGCTACTTAAAGGGAACTGTTCGGCGTGTTGAATGCTCCTCAACTTTCTTCAAAGGGTCATAAATGTGAACTTTGTGATTTTTCTATAAATAAAAGTCTGAAATGTCTGCAGAGTCAAGGAGAAAATAGCTACTGCAATGTAAAACCCTGAAATGTAACTTTGAACTTTAGACGTTTTTTAACCATGTGGCCGTGTTTACTGTTTTTTCTAGTTGACTATTAATGTATGATGTTGTGTACAAGTGGGACTACTATGTTTTATTTTTCTTCTAATTGTACAGTGTATTTGAAATGAGAGTAAGGGGCGAATGGGAGGGAAGAATTAGTTGCACTATAGTCTACACTGTAATTCTTTCAGTCAATGTTCTGTCAAGGCTCAAATTTCACTTTCACTTCAGCACATAATTAACTTTACATTATTAATTTATATTTGAATTGTCAAAAAACACCGCACTGATTTTTAATAAACAAAATAACTGCAGGTATAGTGTTTTTTTGGAAAATTCTAATCCGAAAGTCTGGGGAGAGTCTTATAGCCATTATTTAGATTTTTAATAGCAAGCAACTGTTGGTTGTGTCTCTAGGAAGCAACACTGTTTGAACTGAAAGTGAATTTATTTTTTAATCACTTTGTAATCATGGAGTAGATCAATTTAATATTACCTGGCAGTGTGGAACCAAAATCAACCTAATATTGATCTGGCAGATTTAGTAGAGTGAAGCAAATATTCTGTACACTGAATCAGAAAGGAGTGTGACCCAAATGTGTGTGTGTGTGTGTGTGTGTGTGTGTGACAGAGAGAGAGAGAGAGACTTTGTACTGCAGTACATTGTTTTCTGTGTCATGGTGAACTGAACATCTCACAACCCAGAACCTACAAAGCCACAGCTCAACACTGAAATCAACACAATTTTAAACTAAAGGAAAAATTCAGTGAAGTGCATTAATGAACAGCAACAACAGTAAGAATATATTTTAATGTAATACTTAAGATAGTATCTACATACAGTCCATTATTTATCTTCAGAGTTGCTTGAACTCTTTTAGACTTTGGAAAAGTAAATAGATCTTTGCCGATACATTTAATTGTTCTTAGACAGCTAAACTTTTGCAGAAAAAGCTGAAGCTAAACCAATCATTTAGTTGAACGGCATTAAAAAGCATTCAGTCGAGCCATTGTACAGGTCTGAAGCTGTGCTGAAAGTTACAAATTCGCTCTTAAAACATAACTACTCAGTTCTGATGCCTGACAACTGTAGCAGTTATAGTTATTAACAAAATGTAAGTGCATGTTAAAGAAAGAAAGAAAAAGTCTGGATAGTTTTTCACAGCAAAAGAAAATGTGCATTCGATAATCAAAAGTCTGCATTGTCAGCTGGATTGAAACTAGTTTGATTGTTTTAACAGTTTATAGACCTCAAAAACTTGGGTTCAACTCCAAAGTATTTAAATATTTATGACAAAATAATCAATCAATTTAAAGAGAAAAACCATATTTCCTATAATTTATTAAGGGTTTAACACTCAGAAATCAAACTCAAGGCTGAGTGTGGTTTGATCGTGTTTCTCTGTGGCTCTGGGTTGTTTTGGTCCTGTTCACCACTGACTCTTTTTGTGATGGGTTCCCACAGGTGACTGGCTGTATATAAACTAGACAGTTGGGAATAAAGTAGACAGTGGAGAAGAAAAGTCTAGATTTTGTCCTGTGTTCTCTGACACTTTGCAGACATTATTTTGTACTCATGTTATTTACACCTGCTGCATGTAAATGGCATAGCATTCACGGTCTGTATTATTTCTTTTGAGGACCAGGGTGTTTTTCGTGTCCATCCAGATGTTTTCCAGTGTTTCATATCTTCAGAAAAACTGCTTTTTAAAATGACTGAACTAAAACCAAACCTATTCTCCACAGAGGCAGGATCCTAAAAGACAGCAGAAGGCAGCATCCAAGATCACTTTCTCATTCAGTTCAGTTCACACACCCTGACCAGCCATACAGAACACCAGTATCTCCTCTACTTAAACACACACACACACACACA